ATAACACAGATCGAAGATGGATATACTATTCCATCTAAAGATATTTTGATAAACCGCATACAAAATGCAAGATGGTTTTCAAAATTTGACTTAAAGAGCGGGTTCCACCAGGTTAAAATGGACCCTCGACTCTATAAAATGGACAGACTTTTTCCTCGCTCGTAAGGATTATATGAATGGCATGTTATGCCTTTCGGCCTTAAAATGCTCCCGCCATTTTTCAAAGAAAAATGGACAACATTTTTAAGGATTTAAAATCCTTTACTTGCGTCTATATAGACGATATACTTGTTTTTTCTAAAACAAAAGAAGAACATTTTCTTCATCTAAAACAAGTATTATATAAATTAGAACACTATGGATTAATAGTGTCTAAAAACAAAATGGAAATCAGTAAAAGATTTATAGAATTCCTAGGAACGTAAATAGGAACTGAACCATAAAACTCCAACCCCATATTTCTAAAAAGATCCAAGATTTTCCAGATAAAATGGAGGATATTAAAACATTAAGATCCTTTTTAGGACTCTTAAATTACGCCCGAAATTTTATTCCAAATTTGGGTCAATATACATCTCCTTTATACAACAAAACTTCTATTAAAGGAGAAAGAAAATTTAATTCGAAGACATTAGATTGGTTCGAATATAAAACAAATGGTAAACCAATTACCAACTTTACAATTACCATTAGACTCTGATTATTTGATAATTGAGTGTGATGGAAGCGAATTAGGATGGGGAGCCATCCTAAAACGCAAGAAAAACAAATATTCTTCTAAGATAGAAGAACAAATTTGTAGGTATGCATCCGGCAAATACACTCGCTAAACCCCGGTGTATCAAACTAGCACTGACTATGAAGTCAATGCTATCATACATGCATTAGATGCTTTTAAATTATTTCGATAGATAAGTCGAAATAACCATTAGAACCGATTGTGAAGCAATTGTGTCTTATGGTAAACACCAGATTCATAAAGATAAAAAGCCTCACAGTAAGATGGCTTTTATTCAAGGATTATATGAATTCTGGAAAAATTATAAACTTTGAACATATTAAAGGTTCTGATAATATGTTCGCCGACATCCTTTCCAGGTATGTCACTACAAAGGACTCTGACAAGTCCTCCAAAGACCAAGATTATGGATAATGACTTGGTAGTACAAAATGACCCCGAAATTCCCCCGGATTTGGGTTTTTACACGCACCATTAAGATTTGGTGAGACAGGTCCTCATCCAAGTCATAATGATCACAAAACGTATAAAAGGGCTAAAAAGAAGATTAGCCAAAATACATCTAATTAAAGATGAATTAAACCCTCATAATTTTGCTTATGAGGTTGCCTTTTGTAAGGCTCACATAAAAACTCTAGAACAAGAACTAGAGAAAATAAAGCATTTTGTTGCTTAATATAATCTGTTTTCCGATTGTTTTTCAGAACAAAAGACCATTGATGGGTTCTACAAGTTTTATATAACTTGTTTACTAATGTTTCTTTTGCAGGAACAAGAAATCCAATGATGGATTCTACACACAAAGGGAAGGGGCCTTTAGGTCCTAAACCCACAAAATCCCCATTTATGGTGGAAAATACATGAAGTATGGGAAACAAGAGTTACCCATACTTACAAATTCCTACCAGCTTCCCGGTAGAGAATCTACAAATGTCAAATTAAATGTTTTAATTGACAACATTTGGAATATTCCAAAACACACAAACTTAGAATGAGCAACAAGTCGCTAAAATGAAACAAAGCATTATTAGCGCACTATACAGCTTCTGCAATGCGATAACAAGGAAGTTAGGTTGACTTCCGCAACTTCTCCTTCCTGGTAAGGGGTTTACACATTATGCCCTAGTTACTGGGACCAAACAAAGGAGTTTATACTTCGTACAAAGACCTCTCCGAGGCCAAACAAGACCAATTTTGGTCTAATTACAAAGGTTTTTATTCCAAGGAAGAAGCCCAGATGGCTTTGAAATTGGAAACCATAAACGAAGAAAAATAAAAGCGGCCCTTTTGCTAGAACCAAAGGCCCAAACACAAACCTATGCAGGAGCCTCGTTGTCTTCCTGCCCAGGTTAACCCAAACTTCTTTTTAGCCAGATTTGGGCTAATACAAGAATTTCGTTTGAAGTTCACTCGGAAGCCCAAAATCCCAAAGGGCTTACCGTCAAAACACAGACTTACTTTAACAATAGGAATCCTTGTTTAGGATCCTCGAATATCGTAGAAACAAGTATCCACAAATTGTACTCACGCGTTAAAGTTTGTCATCCGAAGGGCACAAATTGATTTGTCCACCTTCAAAAACCAACTATACCGAGAGCTTCTGATAAGCCCTCAACTTCTGTTAGAAGCCGGATGTCTCCAAGATATTAGCATCCCTCCTACAGAAAGATTTCATTCATTAACCCCAGAAATAAACTCTGTGGTAAATGAAATACAAGCCGAGCATATGATGAGTGTGCTCTTAAAAATTACTTCTTCCCCAAGAAGTCCCAATTCTCTTGACAAAGCATGACAAAACATGTTGTTAAGCTGCATACGCAGGTCAATCCCGAGATGCGTACCTCAATAGAGCAAGATCCTTTTCAGTGGACTTACTCTAAACAAAGATAAGCTTTACCAATATCGCCTTTGGAAAGCTTACGTAGAAGGATCTAACCGAAATTTCTCTAAAAAGGATATTTCGCATTTTATTCTTCTCAAAGAAACCAGCTGATACCAAGCTTTATTGGAAACAGACTTTATGGGAAACAAGTTTCATCCTTTCCCAATTGAAGTCAGTCCCATTCTCGTAGAACATTTCGACGAGAAAGGATTCTCAAAGAAATTTATGAAGAAACCGGAGTCCATGGACAAGGAACCCCTGGAGCTTCATTTCCCTCGATGATGAGGACATAAACTTCATCGACTCGGATGGTTGAAGAAGGACTTGATGATATGTCTTCCGTGTCGCTTCGTAAGACATTCATAAAATTTCAAAAGGCAGGAACCGTACAAATCCCGCCTCCCCACAACCAATGAGTCTTTATGATAAAGACGAATTTACCCTTGAAGATTTCGAGGAACTCCTAATGACGTAATCTCCCACGTCATTAGCCCCACAAAGACTAGTTTGCCCTTGAAGGTTTCGAGGTGCTTCTCATGACGTAATCCCTTACGTCATACACCTGCCGTATCAAAAGACGATAAGGTTAATGGCGAGATAATGATATCTTGCTACCTTGTCACGATTCCTCTTCCGTTACATGTTGTTAGGCCCATTAAGCCTTGCATGTTAATGACTGTAAGATTGAATCAGTCTTTTGATAAAATGTAAAAAAAAAAAAAAAAAAAAAATATTTCTGGGCCCACTAGGCCCATTACTATTCACTTTACTATTTTTGTTTCTTAGTGAGGAAGTTTCCTCCGTAGGATTTCTTCTTTGTTAAGTTTTGAGACCCATAAGTCATGAGTGGGTCCCACATGTAAATTACTATTCATTAGTTTAATATTTTCCATTTTCTATATAAGGTTCCATAAGTCCCTTATGCTGGGCAAGAACCTCCCCCCCCTCTCTCTAGACAAGTCTCTCCTCCTTCTCTCTACATTTCCCCGCTTATGTAAATTTCTTACTATCAATAAGAGAAGTTATTCAACATCTCCCTCTCCTTCTCCTTCTCTTCCCCCAAGTAAGTGCTCTCTCGCTCCTCCTTATGGAGTAGTTTTCTTATAAGGGCGTCCCTGGATGCCTTAAGCTTTATTTATTTAAAGATGCGATAATCGTTTAAAGGCTTAAATAATTTTTTGTACAACTTTAATTTTGTTCATATAAGCTTATGAGGAGATGTCTAACCTGGCTCTGCAGTATTCAGTCATCTCATAATCTTATCATGGACTTTGTGTGTTTATTTTCCCTGTCTTTACTTTTCTCGCATTTAATTTCGTTCATGTATAAGCTTATGTGGAGATGTCTAACCAGGCTATGCCGATTCATCCATCTCATAATCTTATAAGTGAACACTTTTCTTGCTATAACCAACTTTATCTCGGACAGTCTTCATTTTAGCTAGCCCTGGTTTCGGTTCTCCGGTAGCTAAGTAGCCACGTTGACCGACGTAAGAGATAAAGAGTTATAACATGTTTTAATTTATTTTGTTTTCCTGTCTCTTTACTTTCCTCCTTTCCATCCCCTTCGGTCTCGTGGCGCTTTATTCTGGGTTCATTCCCGGTTTTCTCGTTCGTCCACCCTCCGTATCCGAGCAGTGTTTTCCCCTCACCGGGTTTTCCTGCTTTCTCTGAACCTCTTTATTTTTGGGGTATCAGTCAGTTATCTGGCGGTTCAAACCCCGGATTTCCTGTTTTGAGTTTCACCCTTTTTTTCCCCCCCTCTCTTGGTATCATAATCCGGTACTCTTTATTTGGATAGTAGTAAGTGCTAAAGTGTGAACCCTTACTAACAGACTTAAGCTTTTAGCAAAGTGGCTAGCGCTGGCGCCAAACTCTAAAAATATTTTTTTTTACGTATACGTTTTGACTCATGTATTTTTATTATTGTTATGAATGGAAATTTATTATTATCAATACACATTTGTTTAAAATTATAAATTTACTATTTTTTATAATTTAGCGAGTTTATTTTTTTACCTAATTCTTTTAATTTATAAATAAAAGCTACTAAAATTTATAATCTATAATCAATTTGGAGTGAATAACAATATACTGAGTGAGTTTGTAGTTAGTGCTTATTTAATAAAACAAGTAAATTTTATATATATGTCTAATTTGTTTATTTTAAAAATAAGTGATTTTTTGTTTATTTGATAAATAAATTCTATTTATTTTTAAATAAATTATTATAATTATTTAAAAAATATTTATTTTAAATTTAAGAAAGCCAGTCCCATATTAAGAAAAGCCCAAGAGTGAGTGCCCTTTAATATTTATAATTTATTTTATTTATTAATATAGTAATATCTTATCTATCTATATTTATTAACCTTTTTAGCAAACCGGGTTACCGGGTGGAGTCAGGTCCGCAATTGGATTTGGCCCAAAGTGAACTGATCCGGTTTGTATTTACCCTAACGCGATTCTCCCTCATCCTTGAGGAGAAACGAAATAACGTTGCCACTCACGAAGACGAACACGAACGTAGAACTTTTCCTCTCGTCTCTCAGACTCTCCTTCTAGACGACACTATCTCTGCTGCGACTTGAGTTGCTGATCATGATTGTGAGTGCTCTGTATCTATACCTTTTTTTTTTTTTATTATTATTATAAGTATTCATGACAGTATTCTTCAATCGGAGCTTTGTATCTGCTAGGTTTTCAGTTATATGATATCTGTTTTGTTTTGAGTGCTATTTCATTACCATTTGAGGTGGAATAAATGTTTAAATCATCTTTATCACTGCATCTTAGTACTTTTTTTTAGGTGTTACAATAAGAAACTATTTTGTTATGAATGTTAAGTATTAGTCAACTTAAACCAGCTTATTATGCTTGTATACTCTTAGAATTTGACATCCTTAAGAAGTATAACATCTGTTATGCATTATGAAAAATAAACGTTGCAATATTTAAAATCCAAATGTCAAGTCACCGAGTTCAAATATGCTTTTCCAGCAAAGCATGAGTGTTTCAACAAAGAATGAGTGTTGAGTGTTTCAACAAAGAATGAGTGTTGAGTGTTTCAATTAGTGGAAAAAATTTTGCCCCGACAAAGATGTGCTAGTGGAACAAAACGAGTACAACATAAGCCTCGACTGTTTTCAAAACCTATTATTTTTATTTTTTTCTGCGCTTCCTTCTTTCTTATGAAATGCAACACAGGATGAGAAAATCTCCTTTCGTTACATTTGTTCTTTTTGCTTGAACGGCATCTTAAATTTGATGTTATTCCTCTTCTTGAAATTTGGCTTGGAATGGGAATGGCGATTCTAGGCTTTTTGCTAGTGATTATAAGTTTTGAATTTTGTTTTAGTATATCATGTTAATGTGGTTTGCCAGTTTTAGACCTAAATGAATTGGGTTTGATTAATTACGTTTCTGCTTTTGAGGTGTCAATACTTATTGGCTTAGGATTATTTGAAATTGAGGTAAACATAAATTGCTATATGCTTGTGGGGTGTAGGTTATAAGGATTTTATGGTTTAGTTATTTGACTTGTACTAGAAGTAATACGATAGTTTTTTACATCCTTTGGTAAGGAAGACACTTAGTGCTATTGAATGGATGCTTCCTCTTAACACTGCAATTTAAGAACTACGATTTGAATCCTGATCTCATAAGAAGTTTGGGTGATTGGATTTGTTTATAGTTTTTGAACATTGGAGTGTTGTTTCTGAGTTATGATGACTCTATGTTTGATGAGAGGTTAGTTTTCTTTTTTATCCATGGTTGGTTGACATTGGATTTTGAAGAAATTTAATGTTCAAATGAATAAATAGTTAGTACTACCAACTAACCTAATGACCTTTCCTTTCCTTCCCATTCAGTTCTCTCCCTTATAATTATCTCCCACTCTGACAAACCATTCCACCAAAATTTAAAAAGACTGAGGAGAGGGTGATGAGGTGGGTGTGTGCCTATTCAAAATTCTTGAACCAAGATGAAGAAATCATCTAAGACTTTCTTACCCCCTCCAAACTAAGATCATCCTTCCACTACAACCCCGAGGTCATCAACTCATGGGAACTCATATACTGTCTCCCCACTGACAACTTCAACTTGTGACACGGTATATTCTTTATGTGACACTTAAAAGTTACATGCATTAAATATATATCACATGGCTTTGGATTAAAGAGTGGATATGAAAGAGTGAAAAAAGTTAGAAAGAGAATAGAAAGTGAGGTTTGGATTAAGAGAAAAGAGTAGAAAGTAAAATAAATTTATTTATTATTTTAATATATATTTTTAATATAAATTTTTAATTATTTATTATTATAATAATATAAAAAATAAAAACTGTAATATTTTTTTTTAAACATAAGTAAATATTACATAATCTTTGATTATGTTTGAAAATTTTAACTTTCCTCTACTTTTCTACGCACCAGATAGAGGAAGAATCTTTTTTTTTTTTCGATTTTTGAAATTTTATACATTGAATTGCGTAGATTGCCCCTTCAATGTTTTCATTTAGTCTACTTAACACAAAATTAATGATTTTGTTAGCCGGATTAAAAACTTAACAGATCTCATAATTATTTTATACAATATATTTTATTATTTTTATAGTTAATTTTACATATTGAAATATAATGAAAATAAGTTTTTATACTAAAATAAAATAAAATACATTTTTCTTTCCACTCATTCTTCAAAAGTTTATTTAGTGCTACATTACTTTTGAGATAATATTAACCGTCTTCAATTGAATGAAAAGAAACACAACTTTAGAATTAGGGGTGTCCAAGTGAGCTAACCCTAGCTTACACGAGTTGGCTCACCTAGGATTGAGTCGAAAATAAGTGAGTTCAACCCTAGCTCATTTTTTTACGAGTCGAAATTTTACAACCCTGCTCAATCCACTACGGATTGGTGGGTTAGGTGGGTTGGCTCACTAACCCATATTTTTTAAATTATATTGAAACTTCGGACGTAGAAACTTATGTTTTCTTCATTTCTTTCTCAACATCAATATCTTCGTTATTAACTGAAATTGACTCATTGGGTTTTTCATTAATAATAAAATCATCACCAATACAATTTACATTGACACTTTGATGTATTATTTCAGATTCCATACTTTAAATTAATTTAAAAGAAAGAAATAAAAAATTCATTTATTAAAGAGATATACGTATAAATCAATATCAAACAACAAATAATGTATAGATGCTACAATTTTCAAATAAAGATTCATCAATCCAATAGTTTAGGTTATGAAACAAATTCTTATCTTTGAAAGCAATACAGTGGACATTGGTGTAGTGGTGCGGTGGACAGATAATAAGACAAGTGATCTAAGTGCAACAACAAACGTAGTGTTGCAACAAACAAATGATAATAAGTTTAAGTGAGGGTTTGACTTGTGGCGACAACCAACAATGGAAGGTATAGGTAAGACAATATAACATCAATTAGGGTTACTAAAGTATTATAATTATTTTTAAAATTTAAAATAAATGATTAATTAGGGTTAATATATTATTATAATTATTTTTAAAATTTAAAATTAATGGTAGGCTACGGGTCAACCTACCATAATCCAGCTCGAACCCGTTTAACCCGTGGGTTAAGTGAGTCGGGTTCATTTTTAGCCCATAATCGATAGAAATAAAAAAAATCAAACTCAATCCGGCTCGAATCCGTAGTGAGCCGGGTTGGCTCACAGGTTAAAATCTATATTGACACCCCTACTTAGAATGAACTTAGACAATAAATCCTATCATTATTGTTTTATAAGTAATTGAGTTTATGCAAAGTTTTGGAGTGCGAGTATAATTTTAATTGTCAATCAATAAAGAGAGATATCATTAATATAATTCTATAATTTATTTAACAACTATATAGTCAATATGATTTATGCATATTATTATTATTATTATTATTATTATTTGGTTTTCTTGTGGGGGGAATAATATGCATAAATCATGAATAACCAAAACAAAAACGATGAGTTTGTCCGGATAGATGGGGCACTCCCTAGTTTAGGATTCATAGGAAGACCCTTACGACTCCTAGGTATAAGTTCTAGCTTTTGTCCAAACCCAGCAATAGAATTAACCTAGCAAATCAAGAAACTTAAAAGAAGATTAGCAAGACATATAACACAAAGAGAAAGGTTGATGAGAGAAAACCCAACTAATTATGCTTGGGGTATAACTTGGTACAAGAGTAATATTAAGTATCTAGAAGGAAAACTGAAGAATATTAGTCACTTTGTTGCCTAGTTTAAACTATTAGTTGTTTAGATTTGTATCTTAACCCTTAATTCTTGAGTTTAAAGGGTCTTTGGGATTCTTAACTCTTCAAAAGAATCCGTGTAGCACTGAGAGGTGCTCATACGTTGGTCAGTCCTTAGGTCTGGTGGTCCCGGCAGTAAAACCAGGAGGGGTAGTGAGACCGTTGGTCAGCCAAATAGGCCGTGAGGCAAAGAGGTGGTCCCGTAGCATGGAGACTCGAGAGAGAGTTAGAATGTCCAATATTCTTAGAACTTTAAGTGATTTAAGATTAAGAAACAAAGATAAACAAATAGTAGTTAAAATATTATAACAAGAGACTTCGTCTTCTTCGACTTCCTTTGATAATAAAGAAAAAGAATTAAAAATTGCAGAAATAGAAAACTCTTTACATAACTGATCAATACTTATAGTTAGAAAATGTGAAGTATATAAACAACATAAATTTTGGTCAACAATCTAGATGAAATATATATAGTCGAATATAGTTACCCAGAAACTAAGAATAATAAAATTATAAATATTTTAGAACAATCAATTCTAGATCAACACATAAAAGATGGATATAATTTTATTCATTTAGGATTAATCCAAGTAGCAGCAAAACCTAATTATAGAATAGGAATAAATAGCCCAATATTAATGTTATTAAGAGATATAAGACTTAAAAAATTTAATGATTCAATAATCGCTAATTTAGAAAGTAATTTACATGATGGACCTGCCTTTTTTAACTATTATCCAAATTTCTCAATGAATATTAAAAATGAAAAGACTAGTAATGCTATAAAATTATATGTACAAATCCCTAAAGAAATTGTAGATGAAGAATCTGGTCTAATACAAATAATTTATAGAGTTTATTATAAAATAACTAGAATAGATTATAATTATAAAGCTTTAAGATTCTTGCAAAAAAATGAAACCATATTAGTAGAAACTAATTTTAGAAAATCATCAATACAAATCTCTAAAAGATTAAGTCATGAAGAAATAATAAGCAAAATTATGGAGGAATGAAAACTAGAGGATATTATAAAAAAACCAAAAGTATATAATACTCAAATTAGAGAAATAATTCAAGATAGAACTGATATTAGATTAAGAATTAATAGATCATTATCATTTAAAAATAGAGAATCTCAAATGATATATAAAGGCCTATCGTCAAGACATTCTATTGATAGTTCAACAATAAATTTAGATTTAAGATGATTAAATAATATTAATCCTAGAGTAACTAAATCAAGTATATGAAGAATCAAAATAAACAAAATCCCCTCAATACTTTCCAACCGCTTCACGGA